CCCTCCAGACCTGGGAGCTCACTGCCCAGGCCCTTAAATCATTGCTCCCCAAATTCTAGTGTCTTGATCTTGGAGTTACTATATTCTGGAACTATGAGAAATAAATTTCTCTTGTTTATATATTGCCCAATCTTGGGTATATTGTTATAGTAGCATAAAACATATTAAGAAAAGAGTGTCCTTGATATTGAATGGGATATTTGATCTTTTGTGACTGCATGTGGTTTTTTCAATATCTTAAAGTTGAAGATTGAGAAGTTGGGAACAGATTATGTCTTAGTTTTCTCATTCTAATAAGAGGCTCTGATTTTGGAGAAAAGCATTGCTAGTAAGAAAATAAGAAAATAGAAAAATGCCATTTATATTTGACATCTCTTATTATGCTAATTTTACTTTCTATATTCAAGCTGTATTCTTTAAGGGACAATAAAATTAACTAAACAATGGAGAGCATAATTAAGTAAATAGAGAAAATCTAACTGATTAAAACCAACAAAACAATGTCTCTTGTTCTGTACACCATTCTTAACACACATAGGTACACAGAGATCCTACACATGTGCACACACACACAGAAGAAATGATAGAAGAGTCTCAATTTTTATTTATAGTTGTGATGTGAGGAGTACCATTCCTTATGGTGAAGTATTTTTAAAGGTGTATATATGTGTTTAATTTCAGTGACTTAAATGAAAAATTATAGCTATCTAAGGGATGAGATAATATACCTATATAACAGCACAGACATCAATATACCTACAATTATACCATGGATATACCTAAAATTATAAAAGATTATCTCTCTAGACCCTTCTTTTTAGATGACTTACTACCTGATCCAAACTCAAATCTTGTAACTCTGAGGCAGTTCTTTTTTTAAAAAATAATTATACCACATCCTTTGAGAAAAGGTCAATATAACAATAGTATGCTGCTGGTCCTCAGATATTTGTAGGCACTTTACATTCTAAGGCAATTAACATTTTTCCTAATTTATACATAGAAGAATGCACTTAAATAATAAGAAATTAATAAAATAACGTGAATTTTTCAGGAAATTATAAAATATTGATCATTTATAGATCAATTTTAGGTATCAATACAGAGTAACTGATTAAAGCAAATGTAAAACATAATCAATGTTATGTCACCAATATGGAAGACTTAAGAAAATATGAAAATTATCACAAGCCAAGAATTAATTTTCCAATAGTTCTCTGAGCAGTTAGCTACCTTATTTTATAATTGGTATTCCAGCAGATCACTTGGGATCATCTTTGTCTTTCCTGTTCTCATCCTCCAGCTTCTGTGTTTTAATTTTAAAAGCTTGTATCTACAACCTTCCTCATAGACACAAATTTGGGCAACTGGAGCCACTACAAAGAATGAGAAGTGCCTATGATTTTTTTCTGCGTGCCACCCATGTACTTCCACTAAGTTCTGTATATAGTGACTGAATTGAACCAGAGTACAGAAACCCATGTTCTATGTCTCCACAGGATGATCTCTGAGATGTAATTTAGACTCCAGAACTTCCCTTAGTCACATTGAGTTTCATTGTCATCTTCCTTCACAGTCCTGCTGTCCCTATTCTCTTACCAATTCTCCTGTTAATCTTCTTAATTAATCACTTGCAAACAAAACCTTGTCTCAGGGTCAGCTTTTGGGTAAATAATTACTAAAGGCAAATACAAAAGCTATGTAGGATCCATTCATCCATCAATCCACCCATTCATTCATATTTGCTACTTCCCTCTGTCTGAATGCCTCTGCTACCACTAATCCCAGATAAGCAACATTTGAAACAGGCTGGTCTGCATTTTATTATATTTTATGTCTTTATTATATATTATTAATATATCATTATATATTATATATTATATATGAATACACATTTATGAGGATATATTTCTATTTCAAAAATGTTATTGTGTGTATGTATGTATGTATACATATATGCATACATATATATAAATATAAACTTTGCATCCTGCTTTCCTTACTGTACAATATTTGGATTCCTAATAATGAAAAAAAATTATACTTTTAACTGAGTTCTATTGTAAGCTGCCTTATTTGCTCAGAAGAAGAAATCATATTATGGATAAAGATACATAAAATGTGTACTTAGAATCTGAAGTCATAGTAAGGAAGATTTTACATGTTCCCGATTGTTTTATGCTCTCTCTGAAAAGTTTTGATACTGCAGTATCTTTGATTAATTGCCTACACATTGTATATTTATATCTGAAAAGAACATTTTTTTTTTTTTGTACCAGGGATCAAACTCAGGACCTTGCGCTTGTGTGGCAGGAGGCGGAACCACTGAGCTAAATCCCTGGCCCTGAAAAGAACATTATTTTGTATTTAGTTGTGCACAATTCCATGTTGTTTTCTGATTCTATATTGCATCATATGCTAAATATTTTCCTGATGTTTAAGTGATTTTTAAAAACACTGATTTAGTGCTTTGCATTTTGGTGTCTATTTATAATTAATGTTTACAACCCAACAAAACACTTGATAGCTTTATTTTTGTTTTGCAAATGTGACGTCTGAGATGAGATTTATTGAGTTTTTCCTGGCCAAGAACATAATGAGAGTCAGAGTCAGAGTCAGAACGTGAATTAGGAATCTTTGGCTTGCAATTAGATGCTTAATCTGTTATCATTGCACCACTGCCATTTTCTTATAAAATAAATCTCTTCACAATACTATTTCATCACTAAAATACAACTTACATAACAAATCCAAATGCTACATATTGATGAGTGAAGATGGATATAATGTTTATTACTATACTGGAGAAATGTATTGATTTTCTACATTTTAGTTACATGAAGATGGTTCTCTTTTTATTGAATCTCTATGGTCTATCCTTACTGGGAAATATTGTAGGTTATTTTGATTCTCAAAAATATGAAATATAAGTAACTATAAAATGAGTCATTGATTTTTCTGTGCATGAGATATAACACAGAATGTTTTTACGAAAAGGAAATAATTTGATTCAGAAAAATTATTTGTCTCTGTGTAAGGCATTTGTTTTTAGGTAATCATACATTTTGAGTACATGAAGATCCATTTAAGTTAGTGGGCAGAAAATACATGTTTTCTGTGGAAGCATGCTACATACAAGCTGTAAAATTTGAAAGGCTAGCCCTACTAAATTTTGAGCCCACGTTGGCCTGGCTAATGTGCAAAATGTGGAATCTAATTTAAGCTCAGTAAATTCTGCTTTTCTTAAACTATGGATTTATCTGTGACTGTTAATGATAATATCAGCTTTTACTGACTACATGATGCTGAAATTACTACAGTGTCAAAATGAATATAGTCATAATAATGAGTTTCCTCTTCCTTTATCCATCCTACATTTACTCCCAAAGCAGTACAATAAAGATTAAGTTCCATTTATCCTCTTCCTCTATATTTCTTTATAGAAATCTTAAATTTATTTATGATATTCCTGTTAGGGCTTGGAAAATAGTATCCCAAATACTCTTCTTTGGACTTCAAACTAAGGGCACTGGAAGAGCAGCAATGCAGGAAGGACTTTCCCCCCAAAATCTCTAATCTACCTAAAGACCAGATTTGCCAAAAGAAAAATAACTGCCATTCACTTTTTAACTGAAATTTCATAAACTATGAAAGATTAAATTCATATCACAGGGCAAGAGACTGAAAGTCAAACAGCACGTGTAGGATCCAGAAGCACTTTGTCTCAGACCATTGTCTATTCTTCCAATCTACTCATTTCCTCTAAATACCATTTACTAAGTCTGAAATTTCTACAAGCCCCACTTCCCTCTCTTCTAGGAAGAGCGTATTTACATATCAACCATCTGGCCCTCCCGTGAGTTTCATCTGGCCCTCCCTTGAGCCTTGTGTGGCTCCTGTGCATACACACATGTTAATAAATGAGCATATGTTTTCTCCTGTGAAAGTTTCTATTGTTAATTTATATCACCAGACTCAAATTTGAAAATATCAGAGGGAAAAATTGAACTTCTTTATTTCCATTGATTCAAGTAACTTACAGAAATAAAAGACATTCTTTTTTATTGCAATAAACTGAACAAAAATAGTCTGCCAAAAATATACATACATTAGGAAAAAGTTGTATAATACGAAATTTATTGAGATATCATGTGATTAATACAATTTAACTTTGGCCTCTACAATTAAAAGAGGTGCACAAAGTGGTGGCCATTAGCTTCCAGATATTTATTAGTATGGCAAACTGCTGAAGTGTATATACATATTTTTAGCCAACTGTATATGTGATCTTTACGTTAATTTTCTTAATGTTTCCTTGGTCAATAGTCTAGAAGTAATACTTCTACAATATTACGCACATCTGTTAGACAATGCTAGACATACCACAATCGACTATGTGGCCTGCTGTAATATCTATATTAAGAATGTTATAACTGTGAAGAGTATGGAAAGAAAAGTGTAAAGAAAGAAGATGAATACACTAGAATTAAGGAAGTATGTAACTTTGGAAAATATAATAATTGAGAATAATTTTAAATGACAAAACAGAAAATATAATTATTGATTTATCATGTAAACTTGTCTTGCTAGCTTCTTGTAAAATAAAATGAATAAACTGAATATAAAGAAAATTTTGACTTGATTAGTTATTTTCTGTTATCCCTTAATACATTCTTTCTAATTTAGTGAAATATAATTTTAAACTCATTGGCAAAGAGTATGTGTCACACATTTGCTTTTAAGTTGTGGTAATCCAAGTTTATAATTTCTTATCAACTGAATTTTATAAATAATGTTATAGCAACTAAACTGTAAGGTGAAGGAGTAAGGCATGATAGAGATGAACACTTGGGATTTTCCACTTTAATAAAAATAAAATATAAGACTCAAACAGGAAGTATTAAGATAAGTCAAATAAAAGTAGATTTAAGATAAAATAATATAGTATAAAACATGCTTAGTATTTACATATATATATATATGTTTTAAATAAGACCTACTTTCTCATAGTACTTGATCTCGTAGTCCAGAATTACTCCACTGGAAAAAGCAGGTGCTTGCCATGATAGGGCAATGCTATTTTGGGATGCCCAGTCCTTCCTTACCATGCCTATTAGAGAAGGTCCTGAAAGGAAAGAAAATAAGAATTATTTGTCATGAATCATTTTCCATAATCCTTTCTTCCATATTTCTATTTCAAGAAAAACATAATTTTGTTGAAAAGGACAATTGTTGCCATACTAAAACAGCTTTAAGACCTACTCTATTCAATCCAAACAAGGCATTAAAATACACTTAGATACACTGTTAAGGGACATAGGAAAAACTAAAATATTCCAAGAATACAAGCCAAAATTCACCATCTTTGGTTTTATATTACAGGAAGATATTTTTCTTTAAAGTGGTTTTGATCTTTATGATATGAAGTTCAACACACTTGGTTCCTGTATTTATTAAATCTACACCTACCATGGGGGGAATATATGACATTACAGAATATATATTCAGATATATATATATATAGTAATTATAAGATCATATATAAGCTTTTCTTTCTCATAAAGGTATCTTATTGATTTACAAAAGTTTATACTATATAAATTATTTACTGTAAATTATTAATCATTACTAAGATGATTTCTTTTATATCATATGTATATTTGAAAATTAAATATTTAATTTAAATAGTTTATTTTCAGAATCATGTCCATCTTACTTTCTTTTATTGCATTTTTTTAAGAAATCCAAACCAAACCTAAAATAACCTTGTGTTAACCTTCCAATGTTTCATTTTCTTTGTACCTTTCACAAAATACTTTTCATTTTATGTATGCATCTCAAATCTATAATGTTAAATGAAATAGACACAGAAGCTTAAGTGTTCTTTTTTAAATGGTAGTGTTTAATACAGAAATTAAAAATCATTCATTAAACAAGAAATCTAAATTAAGCTATATCATTGACAAAAAGTTCCAAAAGTTTGTTTTGTTACTGGAGATCAAACTCAAGACCTTGTGTTTGTGAGGTGGAGATACCACTGAGCTAAATCCCCAGACCAAAAATTCCAAAATTTTAATAACACTCTTTTGGGTAAGGTTTGGGAGAAAGCACTTTAATGCTTTGTTGGTCACGACACAAAATGGCACAACTTTTATGGAAGTAAAGTTAACAATTTAACAAAAATTATGTATTAATTTATTCACCAGCTATTCAAACTCTAAGAGATTCACTGCACAAAGTGGCATATTTACAAGACTATTCATTGAGACTTATCTCTAAATATCAGAATAATCTAAACGTCCATTCATAAGGGGCTAGATAAATAAAATGCTACATCCAATGGTGGTATTATGAAATTGTGGAAAGAAATTATGTCTACCTATAAATACTACAATGGAGTTATTTCACTATATGTTTTTAACTGAAAAAACTAAGGGGAAGAAATGTATGAAAAATAATCCAAGAACAAATCTGAGAATAAAAAATACTGATTGTAATTGACATTCTTGGTGGGAGAAGCAATAGGATGAACACAATATGCTTAGAAAATGGACATTTAGGTACATCGTATACTTCAGATTAGCTTTGGAATCCTGTAAGTATTGAAATGATTAGAAAATGAAGTTAACATTTAAAATAATTCTGTAAAATTTAAAAGAAATACAAAGAAACCTGTTTGAATTGGAGACACAGCTCCAAGAGAAATTAATTATAGTGACTTTAAAACACAGTAGTTTAACTTCCATCCTAAAGGAATATACAGTAAAAATTAAAAATGAAAACCTGAAAAAATGATTAAACTGTTTTAGTTGTGATGTTGTAATAGTACTGATACTCTAATTCTAGAGTTGTTGTATTGAGGTATGAAGTGGGGCTTTTTTTCCTGTGGAAAAAGGAGATGTCAGATCAACAACAGTAAAAAAAAATAAATGAAAGTATCATTTTTGAACTCATTTTATCTTTTTAATTCATTATCAGAAATGTATTAAATATGCAATCATAGGTAAAACAGGATTTTAAAAACTGACTCATTGTTATATTTTTTCTTTTTCCCTGCATTTCTTTCATTCTTTCTTCCCTCCCTCCTTTCTCTCTTTTCTTTCTTTCTTTCTTTCTTTCTTTCTTTCTTTCTTTCTTTCTTTCTTTCTTTTCTCTCTTCCTTTCATTTCCTTTCCTTTTTCTTTTCTTTTCCTCCTTCTCTCCTTTCCTCCATCTCTCCTTCCCTCCTTTCCACCCTCCCTTTCTTTCTTCTTTTATTCCTTTCTTCCTTTCATTCATTCACTCACAAAACTGGAGATTGAACCAAGGGCCTTTGCACTGAGCTATATCCCTAGGCCATTTTTAATGTTTTCTATTTTAACACAGATTTTTGCTCAGGCTGATTTGACCTTGCAATCCTCTTGCCTCAGCCTCACAGTCCTGGGAGAATGGGAATTTAAAAGACTTAGAAAAAAAATCAAGAACTAAAACTTAGGCCAGGAGCAATCATGTACACCTGTCATCCCAGCACTCTGGGAAGCTGAAGCAGAAAGAAATTTGACTGCAAATTTGAGCCCAGGCTGGCAATTTGGTAGCTTAGCTAGTCCCTGTCTCATTATAAAATAGTGTTTAAAAGGTTTGGGTATATAGCTTAGTGTGATGGCCCTGAGTCCAATTCTTAGTAAAATAAAGTTTATTTTTTGTTTCTAAATATTATTTTAAAGTATTTTTTAAAATTTATGAGATTGACAAGTTTGATTCTCCTAAGGAAGTAAGGACTTCATAAACTATATTTAAAACTCGCATTAGTCAGTGAAAAATTTCTGGTTGGACTAAGTTATATTTTTTAAAAATAACACATATAGATATAATTAAGAAATGGAAGTGTATCTTATGAGCTCAAGCAGTAATTGATGACATGGTAAATAAGAAAAATTATTCAGAAGTAATTCACTATTTAAATTGAGACACATTCACTATTAATAAACTACCGCTAATAAATGTATCCCTGTTGGGAACCTCATTAACATTCTTACATTATAGTATAATAACGTATTAAATGGTGTTTTATGGATAAATTATAACAAAGTAGATAATACAAATTAGAAGTTAATTTAAACATATCAATTCATTAGAGTTTTTGAATATCCTTTCCATATGTATAATCTTATGGTTAATTTTTACTTTAATGTGAAATGGCATAAAGAAATTTATTTAGTACCAGTGTACTAAATTTGCTTCATAATTGTTTAACACTCAAGGCTAGCAATAAAATCCTTTCAAAACTTATAAAACATACAATTATGGCAAAAATATGATTGAATGACTACCGAATAAAATATGGGCATTATTTTTTTCTTTCTAATGCTCGACTGAATAATTAATTGTATATCACCTACATTTTAAATAAGTCTGTTATGGTTTGGTTGTAAAATGTCCCCCATGATTGGATCCTAGGGGAATGATAACCTCATCAGTGAATGAATCAGTTGATTAGTTCATATTTGAATGTGCTTTTAGGAGGTGGGTCCTGGTTGGTGGAGGTAGGTCATTGGGCACTGGGAGTGCCACTTCAGGGGGGCATCTCTTCTTTGCTTCACTTCTCTTCTCCTCTCCTCTCCTCTCCTCTCCTCTCCTCTCCTCTCTCTCCCTCCCTCCCCCTCTCCCTCTCCCCCTCCCTCTCCCTCTCCGCTGGTCTCTCTCCCTATTCTGTCTTGCTGCTATGTGTTGAGAAGTTTTCCTCCACCAATGTGTTTCCATAATGCCATTTCTGCTTTAGAGGCAATCAGTCAGGTACTGAACCCTCTGAAATCATGAGCCAAATAAACTTTCCCTTCTTAACCAGTAGATGTCAGGTATTTTGTCCCAATGACAGAAAAGTGACTAATACCAAGTTCCATTTTATACAGTAGTAAACAAAAATTAGAATTTTTTTCCTAACTGCATAGTTATCTTGCTTAAATATGGCCTTTAGGGCACAAGGACTATACTAAATAAGGCTCAAAATGTATTATTGACAATGTGAAATAGGAAGAAAAGGTCTAAAGGGAAAAGGGAATTTGGAGGGGTAGGGGAAAGTAAAGAAGGCAAAGGAAAAAATATGAGAAACAGAAAAAATGGAAACAAAGTCTCTGTAAATAGGGAGGGGTGGAGGAGGTGAAGGGAAGGCAGGGGAATGGAGAAAAAATAAGACAAGATACACCATGCAAAGGTACAAGTTCCCAATGATGAATGTAACTGTATTGTATACATAAAATGTACCAATAAATTTAATGAAAAAAATTTCTAAATTCTCTTCATTTTTATACATTCCATTTATTTGTAAATATCAATATTTTACATAGTTCTTAAATACACATAATTTTCGGTAATTATATTTATTTAAAAATATTTAAATCTGTTTATTTAAAAATAGTTCTTCTATGCTACAAACCCACTGTGATAAAAATAGCATGGGGGGCCGGGGATTTGGTTCAGTGGTTCCACTGCCTGCCTTGCAAGTGCAAGGACCCGAGTTCAAACCCCGGTACCAAAAATAAAAAAAATAAAAATGGCATGGTACTGGCAAAAAATAACCCTGAGGACCAATGGAACAGACTAGAAGAGGCAGAAACAACACCAAACACACTCAGGCACCTCATGTTTTACAAAGGGCCCAAACATGTTCACTGGAGGAAGGATAGACTCTTTAATAAGTGGTGCTGGAAAAACTGGGTTACTACATGTTAAAGATTAAACCTAGACTCATGCCTCTCACAATGCAATAAACTAAACTAAAAATGGATAAAAGATCTAAATACTAAAACAGAAATACTAAATCTTCTGGAAGAGAGAATAGGTAGAGTTCTTGAAGACCTAGGGGTAGGCAAGACTTCATGAACAAAACCCTAATTCAATGGAAACAGTGCAAAGAATCAACAACTGAGAACTCATCTTATTAAAGTTTTTGGACCACAAAAGAAATCACCAAAAGAGTAAAGAAACAACCCAGAGAGTGGGGAAATTTCAGCTAGTAGCCCCTCAGATAAAAGACCAATATCTAGGGCCAGGGATTTAGCTAAGTGGTTCTGCCACCTGCTTCACAAGCACAAGGACCTGAGTTCGATCCCCAGTACAAAAAAAAAAAAAAAAAAGGAAAAAAGAAAA